TAAACGTACACTTATATGACACAGGTATACTCCTGGGTATTGACCCAAAAGAAATAAAAACATCAAAGACTTGTCTGTTTTTTTTTTTTTTTTTTGAGACGGAGTCTTGCTCTGTCACCCAGGCTGGAGTACAGTGGCACAATCTCGGCTCACTGCAAGCTCCGCCTCCCGGGTTCACGCCATTCTCCTGCCTCAGCCTCCCGAGTAGCTGGGACTACAGGCGCCCCCCACCTTGCCCGGCTAGTTTTTTGTATTTTTTAGTGGAGACGGGGTTTCACCGTGTTAGCCAGGATGGTCTCGATCTCCTGACCTCGTGATCCGCCCGTCTCGGCCTCCCAAAGTGCTGGGATTACAAGCTTGAGCCACCACGCCCGGCCAAAACATCAAAGACTTTTCATACAATCTTTATTCATAATCAACCACACTGGCAACAACTCACGTGTCCATCAACACGTGAACAGATCAGCAAACTCAGGTTCACACAGTGGATTACAACCCAAAGAAGTGAACTACATGAAGAAAACACATGAATGAACCTAAAACATTATGTATGCTAAGCAGAAGTAGCCAGACTTTTACAAAAAGAGTACTATACTTTTCTACCCAAATTTATCTACTTATTTATTTATTTATTTAGAGACAGAGTCTTGCTCTGTCCCCCAGGCTAGAGTGCAGTGCCATGATCTCAACTCCCTGCAACCTCTGCCTCACAAGTTCAAGCGAATCTCCTGCCTCAGCCTCCCAAGTAGCTGGGACTAGAGGCATGCACCACCATGCCCAAATAATTTTTGTATTTTCAGTAGAGACAGGTTTTCACCATGTTGGCCAGGCTGGTCTTGAACTCCTGACCTCAGGTGATCCACGCACCTCAGCCTCCCAAAGTACTGGAATTACAGGCGAGGGCCACCGCGCCCAGCCTCCACCAAGTTTTAGAGCAGGGAAAAAGTAATTTAAGAAGCTTGAGAGCGGATGAGTGGTCACCACCCAGGCACCAGGGGTGTGGCTGGGAGGGGTGAGGAAATCTCACAATTAGACTGTACCTTGATCATGGTGGCCACACAATGGATGTCTTTGTCTAAATTCACAGAAATGTACACTTTTAAAAAAATTTTGTATTTATTTTTTTGAGATGGAGTCTCGCTCTGTTGCCCAGGCTGGAGTGCAGTGGCACCATCTCGGGTCGCTGCAACCTCTGCCTCCCAGGTTCAAGCAATCCTCCTGCCTCAGTCCTGTAGTAGCTGGGATTACAGGTGTGCGCCACCATGCCCAGCTAATTTTTGTATTTTTAGTAGACACAGGGTTTCACCATGTTGGCCAGGCTGGTCTCGAACTCCTGACCTCAGGTGATCCACTTGCCTCGGCCTTCCAAAGGGCTGGGATTACAGGCGTGAGCCACCCTTTTAAAACTGTACAGTTTAAAAGGAAGAATTATTTTACTGTGTGTAAATGACATATTAATGAAGTTGATATTAAAAACACCAAGGTTGATGGGCGCCTGTAGTTCCAGCTACTTGGGACACTGAGGCAGGAGAATGGTGTGAACCCAGGAGGCAGAGCTTGCAGTGAGCCGAGACTGTGCCACTGAACTCCAGCCTGGGCAACAGAGCGAGACTCTGTCTCAAAAAAACAACAAAAACAAAAACAAAAAAACAAAAAACACCACCAAGGCTAGGTGAGGTGGCTCACGCCTGTGTTCCTAGCACTTTGGGAGGCTGAGGCAGGAGGACTGCTTGAGTCTAGGAGTTCCTACTGTGTGTAGCCACTGTGCCAACCCTTCCTTGAGTTCCCAATTGGGAAACTTCCCAGTGAGGAATTTGATGCCCCCAAAGGTTGAGTGACCCTGTCCCTACAAAAAAATTTTAAAAATTAGCCAGGAATGGTGGTGCGTGCCTGCAGTACCAGCTCCTTTGGAGGCTGAGTCAGGAGGATTGCTTGAGCCTTGAAAGTCGAGGCTTCAGTGAGCTGGGATCATGCCACTGCACTCCAGCCTGGGTGTGATAGAGCAAGATGTTGTCTTTGAAAAATATATAAAAAGTGGCTGGCTGCAGTGGCTCACAACTGTAATCCCTGCATTTTGGGAGGCTGAGGTGGGTGGATCACCTGAGGTCAGGAGTTCAAGACCAGCCTGACCAACATGGTGAAACCCTGTTTCTACTAAAAATACAAAAATTAGCCAGGCATGGTGCACACAAATGTAATCCCAACTACTCGGGAGGATGAGACAGGAGAATCGCTTGAACCCGGGAAGTGGAGGTTGCAGTGAGCCAAGATTGTGCCACTGCATTCTAGCCTGGGTGATACAGCAAGACTCTCTCAAAAAAAAAAAAAAAAAAAAAAGGCCAGTGCAGTGGCTCACGTCTGTAATCCCAGCACTTTGGGAGGCCAAGGCAGGTGGATCACGGGGTCAAGAGATGGAGACCATCCTGGCTAACATGGTGAAACCCCATCTCTACTAAAAATACAAAAAATTAGCCAGGTGCGGTGGTGGGTGCCTATATTCCCAGCTACTGAGGAGGCTGAGGCAGGAGAATGGTGTGAACCCGGGAGGCGGAGCTTGCAGTGCGCGGAGATAGCATCACTGCACTCCAGCCTGGGCGACAGAGCAAGGCTCCATCTCAAAAAAAAAAAAAAGAGAGAGAGAGACACACACACACACACACACACACACACACACACACACCCACACACACACACACACACAAGTATAAAGTAATAAATGAAAGCAAACCAAATGTAATTTCCAGAGGCTAAGACCCTAAGGAGAGGAATCACATTCACTTGGGTCCACCATCTACCTGATGTGCGTGCGACCTTGAACCAAGTCACTCAACTTTCGTTGCCATCAAATTCCTCATTGGGAAACCATGCATAGAGGATCTCCTTCAGAAGGTTGTATGGGGGATTGAAGGAATGGTTAGCGCAGTGGCTCCACACAGAAGGAACTCAGGGAATGTTGCTGGGACTCACGTTCCTAAGCCATGAACACGGTACAGTGGGTGGAGGGTGCTACCATTTATGCAAGGAGGGGAAGAAGCTACCCGTGCATATGTGCAGAGGTCCACAGGGGATTTTCTGAAAGATACACATGAAATGAAGACCAGGGAAACAGCAGGATTCTGCCAGTAAAGAGGATAGATGTATGTGTACATATATGTGCATATACATATATACGCGTTTATTTATAAATGACAAACATACAAAAAAAAGTATAAATCTCCGTTTGTTATATATTTAAATTTTCTGTAGTGATCGGGCTGTTGCTATATTATCAAGGCTGGTCTCATACACCTGGCCTCAAGCGAGGCTCTGACATCAGCCTTCCAAAATGCTGGGATTACAGGCCTGAGGCATCGCGCCCAGCTCCAAATCTCCATTTTCGGCAAACCATTTGAGAATAAGTCGCAAACATGCGGCACCTCCAAATATCTAACTATGTTTTCCACAAACAGGGACAGGTTCCCACATGTACACTGTCGGGCACGGCGAAAATCGGTACATTAACACGGCTGGATCGCTACCATCTAATCCGAAGACCCAACCACATTCACCACTTGTGCCAGTAATATGTTCATTTCACTGTATGTTTTGAAATATGTACCACACGCATATGTTATCTTTACGAAAAAAAAAATAGTATTTTGAAACCACTCGTCACAGCCAAATGAAATAAGAGCGAACTCATTCATGCAGGAGCCCCGGAGGACTAGGAGAACCCGGCCTCTCCTAGGCCTCCTCACCTGAGCGGGGCTCCCTCCTGACCGCCGCCCACCCACTCCAGGGCCGAACGCGGGAAGGGACCGCCCAGCCCGAGGGTCGCAGGGGCAGAAAACCCCGGGTCCTGAACGCACCTGGGCCCTGCAGCGAACCTGGCGTCCCCACCCGACTCCAGAATCAGATTCAGGCCAGGCCAGGAACCACACCAGCTTCCTGCGTCCGCCTCGGTCCAGGCTGCAATGCCGGCGGCGACCGCCAAGGAGTCGGAGGCTCAAAGGCGGGGAACGAGGCCCAAGTCCCGGCGCGCTCATCAAGGCGTGGCTCCAGATGAAGGTTCCGGAACAGCCGGCCCCGAGCACCCACGTGCAGCTTCTGATTGCAGCCCTGGGCTGGCTTCACTGTCCGCACCTGAGACCCGCGGCCGCTGCAGGGTGCTTCGCCGAGGGTGCGGGCTCGGGGCGCACAGTGCGCCCAGCCTCTCCCCCTCCTCGCCATTAAGGGGAGCCCCAGCGACGCCCTGAACCCTGAAAGCCAAACTGGGCCCAGGGCTGCACTTGGCATCTGCTTCCCCGTCTGTCACAGTAACCAGGGCTAGGGCCGGGGTCGGGACCTAGAGGAGAGTGGAGGGCGCGCGGGAATGGGGCTCGCTGCGCCACGGAAACCCCGCGCTGCCCTTCGAGACCTCCCCGCTGCTCCGCAGAGCCGGGGCCGCTGCCTTCGCGTCTGTCCCGAGGGTGCGCAGGCGGGTACTTGTCCCGACTGGGGAACAGCGGGAGTGGTGAGACGCAGGTCGGGCTTCCCAGCCCCACCCAGGACGTCTCTGCGGGCGGGAGGCCAGGAGAAAAGAGGGTGAGAGAGATGAGCTGCAGGGGGATACGGGACCCAGGGACATTATAACACGCTTTCCACGCGTAGGATTGGGGCCCACGAATGACCAGAAAGGTGGGACTCACTCGCCCCCTTTGCAGATGGACCCATGTTGGCGCCCCTTAGATGTGCAGTGGGGGCACCAGGACTGCGGTGAGCCTCTCCGCGCCCCAAACGCCAGCAGATCCGCCCGACCACATTTCGGCCTGGCTTGCTTTGCACAAATGCTGCGTCAGCACACGCCCCAGATCCACTCCTTCCCAGATCGCGACCCTCATGCCTTCGCAGAAAGTGTCCTAAGCACAGTCAGGTTCAAAGCCCGCCCCCGGCTCGGATTCGCTGTGTAACTCCGAGTCACTGTTCACACTTCTCTGGGTCTCAGTTTGCTCATCTCAGTGAATGGGACACAGACACAGTCGCGCTGCGGGATAACGCTTTATTTGCCACCCAAGGCCCCGGGCCCGCCTGGGCTTCTGCTCAGAAGATCTTCACGGAGTCCAGCTGCACGTCCCCGCCCACCTCCACCAGGCGCACGCGCGCCAGCGGCAGGCGGTGGCGGAAGTGGTGGTACTGGGCGTCCCCAACCACGGCCTGCAGGGGAGGGTCGGTGGTGAGGATTCCGGAGGCCCATGCTGGGTGGCCCTGGGGAAAATCACTCATCCCCTCTGGGCCTCAGTTTCCCCACTGGGAAAATGGGCCTATTGTTCATTCTAACTCTTGCGTGAGGATCAAACGAGTTTACTGGGTGGCGCAGTAAAAAACGGCTTTTTTAGTCTTGGTAATGGATATTCTTATTTCCTAGAGCATTACCCGCTATTAAAGCGCAGAGGAGGGAGGTGAATTCGCGTAAGGTCTGGGTGGCGGAGGATCTGCCGCCACCTCCACCCCCCAACCCTTGAGCTAGGACGAGTTCCTGGGCCCTGTCTCCAGCCCATTCTTCCCCATGCCTCAAACCCCGGACCTCAGGAAGGAATGAACTGGGAGTAGGGTCTGGAATGGCGAGTCAGGGCCACGCCTTCCCGCTAGGACGCCCACCCCTTGGACACTGGGCTGGTGCTCGCGTCCTCCTGACCCTGCTGTCTCTCTGACCCAAGTGGGAGTTGTTTAGGCGAGAGAGAGGGTCGAAGGACACCCTTCTCTGCCTTGGCCACGCCTTCCCTACCCCCCTCACCCCGCCCCAACCTCCCTGCCTTCCACCAATAGCCTGGCTTTGCCCAACACTGCTCCAGGGACCTAGGTCTTGGCGTCCACGCCCCTGTCTCAGAGACGCACCTTGAAGCCGTCGTCCGACGCGATGATGAGCACCTCGAAGGGCTGCCCGCGCTGGAAAGGAACGCCAGGCCCGCGCTCCTCGCGGCCCCAGGAGCCTTGCTCCTTGCTGTTGAAGACCACCTCTGACGTGTCCAGCCGGGGGTTGAAATGCAGGGCGGCATCGGAGTCCTGCTCCTCCCCGCAAAGCAGGTTTACGTGGAACCTGGAAGTGGAGGATGGTGGCCGTCAGGGCTCAGAAACCACCCAGACCAAGAAATGTTGAGGGTGAGGAATACTGATGTCTACAATTCACTTTGAATGAATAAGTAAATGAAATGTTGGCCGGGTGCAGTGGCTCACCCTGTAATCCCAGCACTCTGGGAGGTGGAGAAGGGAGGATCACTTGGGCCCAGAAGTTAAAGACCAGCCTGGGCAACATAGCAAGACCTCATCTTACCAAAAAAAAAAACCACGAACGAACAACCAAAAACTAAACCACCTAGACCAAAGTCCTTTGAAGGGCTTATGGGCTGGGACTCCCCATTCCCAAGCATCCCCAAATTAACAGGGACCTGAAGACAGGCACACATAGCAGGAGAGGTGGCTGACTAATGACCAGGGAGCTTAGATTCCCAAGGCAGCCAAAATGTCATGAGGCCCTTGGCAGAAACCTGCCCAGACCAAAGTCACTATGCTTAGGACAGGGTGCCCTCATTTCCAAAGAGCCTGGGAGTTGCCCAGGAGGTCTGGGTGATGGCCAGGGCACTCCTGATGCCCAGGGAACCCTCAGGTTCTACGGGACAAAGAAGAATACCAGGAAGCCCAGTATTTCCAGGGTACCCCAGAATCCAGAAGGCCCAAAGTTCCTTAGCCAGGAAGTCAAAGGATGGCTTGGCAAAGACTCCCAGGGTCCAGGTGTCTACAGGACTTGGAGTATTCCCAGAGTTCCCTGGGACTCAGACATGGAAGTCATAGGACTATATCTAGGAACCCTGAGATTACCCAGGAACCTCAAATTCTTAGGGAAACTTAGGGACCCCAGCCACAAAGGCATGGGGCAAATAAGTGAATACATCAGATTTGAGGTCAGAAATGGCCTCGGACTCGTAGCCTGGTGGATACAGATGGTCTAGGGCCCCTATTTCTGGATTGCAAAAATTGGGGGTCGACTGAGCCCCCAAATTTTCTCCAAAAATTGGAGACCTGTACCCTTTACCCCTAGGGCCTGGGGTCTCACCTGCCGGCATTGGGAGGAACCAAGCCACGAATTCTCAGCACCGTGCCAGGGCGGATGCCCTCGGGCAGCAAGGACTTGTGGGGGACGTTCTGCAAGAGTGGAGTGCAGAGGCCACTGTGAGCCAGTGAGACTGAGGAGGGAGGCAGAAGGTGGGTCACCCCTCAGAGGAGTCGACCAGGACTGAGACTGGCAGAAATCAGTGGAAGAGAAAAGGGTGGCAGAGAGGCAGGAAAGAGACCAGAGACAGAGAAACAGATGGGGAGAGTGACAAAGAAAAACAGAAAAATCCTCAAAGAGGGAGCCAGAGGAAGCCACAAAGAGGTAGAGGGGACAATCCGGAAGGGCGGTCACCCAGAGGCCACAGCCCAGGCCCATCCATGGCGCACCCACTGCCCACTTGCTCCTTCGAAAGAGGAGCCCCCAGCCCCCTCCCTACTCGGCCCCGCCCTGGGCCCCTGGAGCACTCACGGACATGGCTGGGACAGGGTCAGGCAGCCGTGGTGCTGGGGACTGCTGGGGACCTTAAATAAAAGCAGGGCGGGGCTGGCCCTGATGACTCACCCCACCCCTTCCCACCCACCACCCACACCTGGCACAGACCCTGGCCCTGGGGCAAGCCTGGCGAAGCGGGAGTGGCACTTCTTCTTGGGGGCCCTGATCCCCTCCATCAACCAGGGCCCGGGTGCACTGCCCCTCCTAGGAGCTGATAATAAGAGGGACCGTTTAACAATAATAAACTCACAGCAGAGAAGGCTCCTCGTGCCACCGCCCCTCCAGCCCTGCCTTCCCACTGCCTGGCGCACGGAGAGTGTCTCATGCTTATTTTATACACAGACATGTTGGGTCCTGAGAAGCCAAGCCCAGCGGGAACTCTAGACCCTTCTCTCCAGCTAAGAACCTCCTGCCTGGACTGGAAATGTCTGCGCTGAAATCCCTGCTTCTATGTCTCTAAAGCAACAGCGGCTACAACCACAGCGATAGTGCCAGACAGGGCAACTTCACGGGGTCGAGGGGCGGCCTGGGCGGCTCACTGCTGCATCCCCGGGTCCTAGAGTGTGCCCGGTTCATGGGAAGTCCTCAGTCAGGAGGGGTGAAAGGAGGGGATCTACTAGGACTATGCTTGTCATTTCCTAGGCCCCTGGGCTGCCCAGGATATGCAGGAAATCACTGATTGGGACCCCATCATTCCAACAGGGGGGCAGCGTGGGTCACCCCCATTGTACAGAGGAGGAGGCTGAGGCTGGGATGGGGAAGTGATTTTCCACAAGCCGCGCAGGACCCGCTGCCCCGACCTCTGGCTCTCCTCACCTCTGCTTGTGCCTCTCCTGTGGGTTCTGTCTCTGGGGCTGGCTGTCTCACTCTGTCCATCTCTGCCTGTAACTGTGTCTACCGCGTATTCCTGTCCCACTTCTCTCCTTCAAGTCTCCCTTGTGCCTCCTTCCAAGACTGTTACCATCTTCCCATCAATTTTGCAGGTCAGGATGAGGCAGTTTTAGGGTAGTGGGTGGCCTGGCACCCCATCACTACCCAGACCCGAAACAGAGCAAAGTGAGGACTCTCCCAGCAGCCCCAATATAGCCTACAATATACTCTACAAGAGAATCCAGGGTTGGGGAAGTAGACTGGGGGAGGCGTGGATGGGGGTGGGGGGACCAGATTGAAATCTGTTTCCAAAAGGCAGGGATGGTGTGGGAGCTGAACAGAAACCACTCCTGGCTGGGCGTGGTGGCTCACGCCTATAATCCTAGCACTTTGGGAGGCCAAAATAGGTGGATTACTTGAGGTCAGGAGTTCAAGACCAGCCGGGCTAACATGGTGAAACCCCTTCTCTACAAAAAAAAAAAATACAAAAAATTGGCTGGGCATGTAGATGGACACCTGTAATCCCAGCTACCCAGGAAGCTGAGGCAGGAGAATTGCTCTAGCTGGGGAGGCAGAGGTTGCAGTGAGCCGAGACCACACCACTGCACTCCAGCCTGGGCAACAGAGCTAGACTTTGTCTCAAAAAATAAAAATAAACCACCTCTAGCAATGCAGCAGCCCTCCTGGACCTTTTCCACCTCCCACCCCGGCCCCTGCCCCAGCCAGCAGGCTGCTGAGAGGCCTGGGCAGAGGCAGGCTGGCAGTGGAAAGTTTGGGTGGAGACACCAGACCCAGAACCATCCTCCACCCTCTGTGTCCCAGGCTCCCAGCCTCTTGCCCCTCCCCACACACTCCAAGGCACCAAGCTGGGGGACCAGTTCCTAGGGACATGAACTCAGAGAGGGAGGCTGGCAGCTGCATTTCAGTGGGGTCTGCAAGCACCCTCATTCTGCAGAGGACAAAACTAAGGCTGGGTCGGGCACGGTGGCTTATGCCTGTAATCCCAGCACTTTGGGAGGCCGAGGTGGGCGGATCACGAGGTCAGGAGATCGAGACCATCCTGGGTTAACACGGTGAAACCCCATCTCTACTAAAAATACAAAAAATTAGCCGGGCGTGGTGGCGGGCGCCTGTAGTCCCAGCTACTCGGGAGGCTGAGGCAGGAGAATGGCGTGAACCCAGGAGGCGGAGCTTGCAGTGAGCCGAGATCACGTCACTGCACTCCAGCCTGGGCGACAGAGCGAGACTCCATCTCAAAAAAAAAAAAAAACTAAGGCTTAGACAGCGACAGCTTCTCAGCCAAGGAAGCGGCCAGGCCCTGGGCTCCAGAGGGGTCTCTGTGCCAAGGACACATCATGGGCACAGACAGAGAGGACAGCGGGGTGTCCGGTGATCACATCACCAGCCCAGCTCAGTTAGTTCCTGAGAACGTTCCCCTGAATGGCAGACTCCATCATTCTAACGTTATACATTATAAAGAAGACGCTCCTCACGTTACTGATGCCTCGTCTGTGTACCATGCTTCCCAGGAACTCAGCTTTTCAGTGATTGCTTCACTGTGGCTGGATGTAACTTCACATGTAGCCAACGTGCTACAAGTCCCAACGTGCCTTTGCTGATTGGCCAAGTGTTTGCATTCACTCTGTTGTCAGCCTGAAGTCCTGACTCCTTTCTGGTAACAGATCTGCATCCTTGATTGCATCCTTGATGGGTTTTTTTTTCTTCTTTCTTTCTTTCTTTTTTTCTTTTTTGAGACAGAGTCTTGCTCTGTCACCAGGCTGGAGTGCAATGGCACGATCTCGACTCACGGCAACCTCCGCTTCCCAGGTTCAAGTGATTCTCCTGCCTCAGCCTCCCGAGTAGCTGAGGATTACAAGCACGTGCCACCACTCATGGCTGATTTTTGTATTTTTAGTAGAGACGGGGTTTCACCGTGTTGGCCAGGCTGGTCTTGAACTCTTGACCTCAAGTGATCCACCCACCTCAGCCTCCCAAATTGCTGGGATTACAGGCATGAGCCACTGCACCCAGCCCTTGATGAGTTCTTATTCAATTGTGTTATCTTTCTCATTACTTTTGCAGTACTTTTTTTTTTTTTTAGACAGGGTCTTGCCCTGTCTGTCTGTGATCATGGCTCACTGCAGCCTTGGTCTCCTAGGTTTGGGAATCCTCCTGCCTCTGGAGTAGCTTGGACTACAGGTGCACGCCACCACACCGAGCTTGTTTTTTTTTCTCTAGAGAGGAAGTCTCACTACATTGCCCAGACTGGTCTCAAACTCCTGGGCTCAAGCGATCGTCCCACCTTAGTCTCCTAAAATGTTGAGATTACAGGCCTGGCCATGGTAATATTTGTGTGCGTCTTTTTTCAGTTTTAAATAACTAATGTATTTATTTCCCAGTTGTTATTTCATTGAGGTATTTTTCCCATTAAATAAAAGGTTCAGATTTTGTTGTTGTTGTTGTTGTTGTTTAGAGACAGGATCTTACTCTGTCACCCAGGCTGGAGTGCAGTGGTACGATCTCAACTTATGGCAGCCTCTGCCTCCCAGATTCAAGTGATCCTCCCACCTCATCCTCCTGAGTAGCTGGGACTTCAGGAGTGTGCCACCACACCTGCCTAATTTTTTGTATCATTTTGTACAGATGGGGTTTCGCCATGTTGCCCAGGCTGTTCTCAAATTCCTGGACTCACGTGATCCACCTGCCTTGGCCTCCCAAAGTGCTGGGATTACAGGTGTGAGCCCCTGCTCAGGGTTCAGATTTTAATGGAATAGTTCAATGAGTTTTGACACATATAGTCACCTGTGTCACCACCTCCCTGATCAAGTTTCCTGGTGCCCCTGGAAACACTCATTGCTCCTTCTGCCACCGGAAGCCACTGTCACTCCTGAGCAGTTAGTAGCCACAAAGTTTCCTCTGATCCATTGTGGTGGCATGTGCCTGTAGTCCCAGCTACTCGGGAGGCTAAGGCAGCAGGATCACCTGAGCCCTGGAGGTCAAGGTTGCAGTGAGCCGAGATCATACCACTGCACTCTAGCCTGGGCAGCAGAGTGAGACCCTGTTTAAGAGTCAGGCTGGGCGCAGTGGCTCACACTTGTAATCCCAGAACTTTGGGAGGCCAAAGCAGGCGGATCATCTGAGGTCAGGAGTTTGAGACCAGCCTGGCCGATGCGACAGCCTGGAGCGTGCCTGTCATCCCAGCTACTCAGGAGACTGAGGCAAGAGAATCACTTGAACCTGGGAGGCAGAGGCTGTAGTGAGCTAAGATTGCCCCTCTGGACTCGAGCCTGGGCAACAGAGCAAGACTCAGTCTCAAAAAAAAAAAAAAAATTCATTTGCTGTGAAAATGAGAAAGTGGGTGGGGACAGACTGATTTTTCTGACTTTAAGCCTCTTTCAGGATATAATTTAGGTGAAAAGTAACTAATTGCACACTAAGTGTTTGTAGGATTTAAAACCCCAGGTTTTGTCAATGCCATTTTGTCGGTGATATCTTGGGTTATTGTGGGTTTTTTTTTTTTTTTTTTTGATCCTCTCGACAACAAAAGTACAGAGATGAAGTGCAGTGGATGTAATCATAACGCCTGCATTGCAAAAAACAACGTATCAACACACCGATTCAACGATCCACTAGAACAAAATACAACATCCTGAAGATAAGACTGAGGAATAATACAAGCCACAATCCTGGGCCCAGAACTATATTTTTATTTTAAATACTTATGTTAATTGTTTTTTGATAAAAGAGACCGGGATTCACTACACACATGTTGCATCAGAGCTAGGTCTTAGAACTAACACAGCCTGGCTCAAGCAGATCCATAACTGGCATCAAGCTAACCAAAAAGTCTCGGGATCGTACATAGGTGTAGCCGAAGTTCACCATGGAAGCGAACTGGCATCATTTTACATTTTGGTATTTGTAGCAGATCAGGGTCTTCCTTGCTTGCCCCAGGCTGGCTCTAAACTCCTGGCGTCTCAAGCAGGTCTCACCAGTTCAGCCTTCCCAAAGTGCTGATTAAGGTACGAGCCAGCTACACTCCACCCCTCTCAGGCAAAACTTTAGAAGCGTGCAAAATGAGGGCCCAGGGCCCGTGGCTCACCGGCCGTAAATCCTATGCACTTTCTTGGAGGACTGAGCGCGA